GAGTTAGCATCAGCCATGCTGATAGGAGTTAAAAAGGCTTCTCTCAGACGCTTAAAAGAGAGTTGTTTTGTCTTGGAGACGTTAAAATTAATAAGCCATTCCTTGCCCCAGTTAACAACAGAGAATAGATAGTTTTTAAGATCAGCTATTAAACTGATCTTATCGAACCGCTGGAAATTACTATTAAGATAGGAGTAAATGGTTGTGTCAATAGATAGTGAGTCAAGAACTGATGCCATCAGTAAGAACGACTTACCGTAAAATCAGATTTTGGAGTTATTTACATTATTTATTTTGTTCGGACTGTTGTTCTCATCTTTATTGATATATTTATTGTGAATATGTGAATAATGGTGAGGACGGCAGTCCAAACAACGTAAATGTAATGTTAATAAAAATTTATTTAAATTAAGTATGCCACATATGCTAAACAAATAATGTAACGAGGATTTTTAATTGTTGTTGCATGATGATTCTTTCTCTTCTAATGTCATACTCAACTATTTCCGAAATTCTTTTTACTTCTATTCTTGAAACTTTTTAAATGGAAGACACTTTTTAACACTGCGTACATTATTGCAATCATCATATATGAATGCTCGCTTTCTTTCCATAAAACTGACAACCTTTTCAATAGCTTATTCAATTTCAGGCCAGGTCTTATCATATTTATTTTTTTTTATTTCCTTGTTCATTATGACAATATGAACACTCAAGAATAGTTTCTTTTGAATATTTTATATCATACAATATTGACTTTGAACTTTCACCAGCGTCTAGTTTGTTTAAAATTTCCACTTTTTGCGATAAATCCAAAGTTGTTTTTCCTCTTATTCCCATCATGTTTTTTGCACTAATTCAAGCCATTAGGATGAAATAAGCATAAGTTATCCAAAGTAAATTTCCTGAAAAACAGAAATTTCAAATCAGTTACATATCACCCAAATAGTTCAAATATACACATGAAAATCATGTCCGAATATGCGGGATTCCGGATATGAGGCAATCCGGATATGAGGGATTCCGGATATGAGGCACTCCGGATATGAGTGATTCTACGGAAGTTTCTTTTTTCGCACGTTTCACTTATGGAACTCTCTTATGGATTCTTGCTTCCCAGCCTCGTAAGATCAAAACTATCAATGCAACATCAATCGCCATCTTTTGTCTTCTTGAAACCTGTTCTTTTATTGTCCTGTCCTCCTTAATAACACCTTCTAAATAACCACTGGTGTCTTATTTGCATTATCGCTTTCATTGGGATGAAATTATCAAAACAATTCCTATTAAGTTACAAGAAATATTCGATTAATGCTCATCAAAGATAATCGTTAAAATATTCAAACATAAAATCGGATTAGCATAAAAAAATGAGGAAAAGCAAATATAAAAATAATTTTTATAAGTCGTCTCACTGGAAAGAAAACATAGACTGATAAATATTTGGATAATTTATCTTCAACCCCTTAATTGAAAGAGTATAGGAAGTCTTTCTGCTTCCAAAGTGTTGACGTCTAGAAATCATCAAATTGTAAAATCCTTTAGCGTCGCGCTTAAAATGCTGAAATTATCACTTGTCTGTCAATGTTTCTGAGGTATCATGTAAACTATTTACATTATTCGAACTACTGTCCTCATCTTTATCCCCATATTTATTACAACGTTTCGGCCGTTGTACATTTCAGCTTCTTCAGGTGGTTGGAATGTCGAACTGAACCATTTATTTCGCTCACTGGGGTAGACTGTTCTACTTCCACGTGCCATGTCTAACACTCTTTGGGTCCAACGCCTTTATTAAGGCATTGGTTAGATCCAGTGACAGGACCCAAACAGTGTGAGTTCAATACCCAGTTAAGGCGATGGAGAACTTGGAGAGGGGAATTGACAGGAGATAACTGGTAACTAACATCCATTGGACATGGCAGGTGGAACTAGAACAGTCTACCCCAGTGAGCAAAATAAAGGGTTCATTTCGATATTCCAACCACCTGAAGAAGGCCGGAGCGTACAACGGCCGAAACGTTGTAATAAATATGGCGACAAAGATGAGGACAATAATCCGAATAATGTAAATAGTGTTGTCACTTATCACTTAAGGATTGAACCAGATATAAATAAATTTTTTTTATGATTATTTTGATCGTCCAAGAATGCGTGGAATTCATTTAATTTGGAATGGCTTAAATGTTCTATCGAATTTTGTTAAAGAACTTAATTTAAAGGGATCCTTAAATGAATAAGAACCTTGTAATTTAAGAGACAGATGATTGGATAACTTGCGTTAAGCATCATATTTTAAAGAGTATAATACCCACCTCCTTTATCTTTCATGACAAACTACTTACCCTGCATGGCGTAGATTATAGACGACCCAGTTTTATTGTGTTCGCGTTCGGAGAGCCAATACGAAGTGGTATGTGAGACATATGAGTTTGTTGCTGTCCAGGTAAAGCTACTCGGTGAGGAGGGGTTTCTCTTACCGCTTGTGTAAAACATGTATCTGCAAATAAAGACAGAATCAATCATTTTACTTTGAATTCAAACATTAAAACAAACATAGGACAAATGCCCTCGGAAAATGGGAAGGGTAATTTAAAAAAATATATTTGATCTTGACAGCTTTGTTCATAGCCAATAAGGAAGGTCTTTAGATTGAGTATAAGATTCATAGCGAGGAATTATTGGAAAAGGTTTTGCTCGTTGATTGTTTGATAGCAGATTATAAACACTAGTAATAACTCTTTTTGAAATCAAATAATGAATAGTGCGCAGTTAGTAACATAGATCGGGTAAAGAAATGCATTCTTATAGCAAAATCATTTACAATGCATTTTCATAGTAAAATTATTTCCAATGCATTTCCATAGTAAAATCATTTACAATGTATTCTCATAGTAAAATCATTTCCAATGCATTTTAATAGTAAAATCATTTCCAATGTATTCTCATAGTAAAATCATTTCCAATGCATTTTCATAGTAAAATCATTTACAATGTATTCTCATAGTAAAATCATTTCCAATGCATTTTCATAGTAAAATCATTTACAATGAAATCTCATAGTAAAATCATATCCAATGCATTTTCATAGTAAAATCATTTACAATGTATTCTCATAGTAAAATCATATCCAGTGAATTTTCATAGTAAAATCATTTACAATGCATTCTCATAGTAAAATCATTTACAATGCAATCTCATAGTAAAATCATATCCAATGCATTTTCATAGTAAAATCATTTACAATGTATTCTCATAATAAAATCATATCCAATGCATTTTCATAGTAAAATCATATCCAATGCATTTTCATAGTAAAATCATTTACAATGCAATCTCATAGTAAAATCATATCCAATGCATTTTCATAGTAAAATCATTTACAATGCATTCTCATAGTAAAATCATTTACAATGCATTCTTATAGTAAAATCTTTTCCAATGCATTTTCATAGTAAAATCATTTACAATGCATTCTCATAGTAAAATTATTCACAATGTATTCCTATAGTAAAATCATTTCCAATGCATTCTAATAGTAAAATCATCTAAAATGGGTTCCTATAGTAAAATTATGTACAATGCATTCTTATACTAAAATCATTTCCAAATACATTTTTCATAGTAAAATCATTTCTAATGTTTTTGTATAATAGAACCATATAAAATACATGCGAATAGTAAAATGACTTACAATGAATTCCTATGGTAAGAATAAAGGTAAAATTAGCTGTTTCCATACAGAAAAAATTCTCCATTGACTGAATATATAGTGTCATTCTTGTTTGAGATTTATTTTTCTTGAAACCGTTTTTCAGGAAATTAGACATCTCTAGTCCACTGTTATCCCTATTTCCAGTACTGTTGGGAGTTTCTTTCCAAACCTTTTCTTTAGGGATTTGTCAAATGTTAGCGACTCGATTATATCCTTATCTACTTTTCTCGTTACATGTTCTTCGCGTTTTTGTTGTTGCTGTTAGAAATTTTCAGCGATGTATTTCTATTATTTGGTAAAACCCATTGGTTGCGATTTTTTAGCACAACTCTATACTGCCTGGTATAAACATTTAATGGTAAAATGATAAATTCTTAATGATAAAATGATAAACTTTTAATGATAGAATAATGATAAACTTTTAATGATAAAATGATAAATTTTAATGATAGAATGATAAACTTTTAATGATAAAATTTTAATGATATTTTAATAAATGATCGTGTTCAATAAAACCGTAAAGAATTCATTGACTTGAAGTCATTTTTAATCTTTAATCTGAGAAAACGTTTGTAAATAAATGATATGTTTGACATTTCTGAGTTATGAGGTACGTATTTATTCTACATGAGAATTTAGATTTGACAAGGGCATTTAAGAAGAGGATACGAGTTCTCAGGTTAATTAATACTTTGTAGAATTTTAGGTTCCCTTCACGTAAATTATCCTCTGTTCAATATCCTTATCTTCTATAGAAAATTTATTGCTAAATATATATTTGTTCTGCTTTACGGCTTCAATCTAAGTTATTTCATATAGAATTCAGTCATTTTTCTGAATAGTTTTACGGTTTTAGATTTTTAACAATACAAGATCACTGTCTTGAGGAACATTATATCTTTTATTTAAACCTTTTCAAACAATATATTTGTCTTTTAGGGGCAAGATCAATGCATTCAAGCGAAATATTTTTTACTGCATAGTATTTCTAGTAGGCACAGGTTTATCTTGTGTGATAATCGTAGTGCTCTGTTTGATCAAAATGTTGTAATTTGGTGATGAAGCAGAATCGTAAGCGAGTGTATATGAAGGCCCTGTCCTTCCCAGATAAGATGAGCCTCTCTCGGGAATCGAAAAAATTCCAAGAGAATACATGGAACTACATTTGAGGACGGATTAGCTGCAGGAGATGCCAGAAGGAGCATCAGCGTTGATAAACGACCGCCTTCGGGGCTCCATTATGGATCTTCTGTCACCATTTACTTCCATGACATTTTCTGCGTCTGAATATGACCGCGAGTTAACATAGGTTTAAAATCACGGTTTTCATTCCCCTAAATGGACACCCGTCCGTGGTTGACAGGCTCTGTCTACCCGAAGCAGCTTTTTATGAGACGCCAGTGGTCGGGCTTCAAATCTTCTCCAGTATGGAGCTAGACTTAGTTGTCAGAGGCTGTTTGGGACGCATGCCATGGAACCATTTTTAGAGACAGTGGGATATTAACCTCACTAATCACTCAGGTTATGACATTTGGAACATATTAAGTTGTTACACATGAAATGATGCAGTTTACAGGGAATGAATAAAACGCTTCTGAAATTTTAAATAACTATTTTATTTAGTTGAAATAGGCACCATGTTGATAAATGACTGTTCTTCAATGTATCTCTAAATTCTTGATCCTATCCTTTAAAGAATTATCATCCTTTGATGTGATAAACAGTTCAAATGTTTCAATTACCTCTTCCTTATTGGAGAATGTTTTATTGAGGTTGATATGCTGTAAAACAAAGTAGACCATAAACCGTTTCTTCCATGCAGCAACAGTTAATTTTATAAATAAAACATCTAGATTACTTCATGGAGAAACATACCAAATACCGTAAATTTGAATTAGGGAACTTAGATAAATAATGAAGAAAGAATGCTTTATTCTGACTACTACTTTATTCTCTTTGTGTGCCCCAATAATAATGGCTGCTCATCATTTCTGGGGAAGATTGTCTCTTCTTTGATAGGAGAGTATTCAAGGGAAGCAACTCATGAAGATTAACAAATACAATTATCAAATTAAATAACTATGGCCATCATTTTAGTGTCGAGGGGCATAAAGGTAAATTAGCTGTTATAATAAAAAACATATAAAAGCCAATCATGATAAATAAAAAATAAGTTCTGTTCCGAAAGTGTCCAGCCATATGAAACAGGGGTGGCCGAATCTGCTTAATGTAAAAAAAAACCTCAATGTATAGATCAGTTATTAGGTTGTCACTCATGAAATGTCGCACTTTCAAGAAAATGAATAAAATGCTTCTGAAATGTTAAAAAAACTAATTTATTTAGTTGAAATCGATACCATGTTGATAAATGACTCTTCTCCAATCTACCTCTAAATTCTTGATCCCATCTTTTAAAAATTTCACATCCTTTGATGTGATAAGCAGTTCAAATGCTTCAATTACCTCTTCCTTATTGGATAATGTTTTATTGCATATGAAAAGCTCAAAATGTTTAAATAAATGATAATCAGGTGAATATGGAGGATGTGTCAAAATTTCATAATTTAGACTATGCGGCTTTTGGACAGTTGATTGAGAAGCGTGCAGCCGTGTGTTGTCATGCAGCAAAATTGGGCCATCCCTATTCCCAAGTTTAGAATGTTTCTTTTTCCATTGTTTTCTATTGAGGCAAGAATGAATAACGAATAATCCCCTTGGAATGACCACCATACAGTAACCATTAACATTTTAGGGTGCAGTGGAGATTGTGGGTATTGTTTTGGTGATTCACTTGCATCTAACCACTGGTCTACTCTCTTACTGTTGCCAAAGAGTATCCATTTCTCATCGCATGTAATTATTCAATGCAAAAATGGTTCTTTTTCTCTGTTTTTACTCATGCAGTAAGATTAATCAGCATTGTCTTAGTAATCATTTTCTTTGGGCTTATATGGAACTTACTGAAGCTTATTGGGCTTATATATATATATATATATATATATATATATATATATATATATATATATATAACTATATTGGAAAAAAAAATTATCAGTAAAGAAAAAGAATCAGGAATAAGTTAAGACTTTTTTTGTATAGTAAAGAGATTACTTCGTGTGTCGACAGGATAATATTAACAGGATATTATATATATATATATATATATATATATATATTATATATATATATATATATAGCAAAAACTAGGTAATCCGTATGGGTAGACCCAAGGAGGATGATATCCAGAGAGCTCAATGTAAATTCAGAGCAAATAAATTTGAATAAAAACAGACTGCTTTAAGGTTCCATGTAATAAATTATTTCACCACAGCCCTTTTAAAGGGCTCTGGATCATCAGACTTTACTTCCAAAGGTTGAAATGAAAAATGAAAAGAAATTTACACATTTTTGACGGGCCGTATTAAGCATATGTAAATTAACGAAGGGAGGAAGTGAGGGGGGAGAGAAGACATGAGTGAGTTAGATGTACCATTTCAATTCTTTATTCTTAAGATCACTTGGTGTGGGCCAGACATCGCTTAACTTAACGTATGTTATCTCTAGATATAGATGGGTAAGGGGTGAAGAAGAAACACACATAAAACGAAAAGGATACAATAAAATAAATCATGAGAGAAGGTTTCACTCAATTTCTTAGACACTGTAATTTCGCATTATATATATATATATATATATATATATATATATATAATGTACATATACGAAAATTACCATGTCCCAATTGTTGCTGCTATTGAAAGTCCTCAAGTGAGGCGATTTCTGTT